TCTCTCTCTCTCTCTCTCTCTCTCTCTCTCTCTCTCTATGTATCTATCTATCTATCTCTCTTGCGTTAATTAGAGGTAGTATTATATATATATATATATATGTATATATATATATCGAGAAGTAGTTTTCGTCGTCAGAGCCGCTTGGAGTCATCGGGGGATTGTCTTGACACTTAAACGACAGGCATAATCGATGAGCAATCTTAATTATCTCTATCGGTATATAACCTTAGGTAAAGTCCTTAAAACGCTCGGGTAATCAATTAGGAGTCGAGTGAAAGGCTAGAAGTGCTACGAAACTCGCAATTGACTTAACTCGTTATAACCCGTTCGCGTGTCCGTGGAATTTGACGACGTTACGCTCGCGTCTTTCCGAATCGATGCTCTCAACGGAGACAATCGCGTTTGCCTTTTCCTCCTTCGGGTGTATAACGGGTTAATTTCAACGTCACGACGAAAGCGCTGCGTCGGCTCGACTGAGAGACGAAGCTCGTTGTGTCGAAATTGCGGGTGTACCGGCGCATTAGCGATTTTAATCAACGGACTGATTCTAACTTCCCCATTAGTGTCCTCGCGATCGATCTTGTCCGATCTGCTCTGTCGTCGATCTTATCTCGGCTATCCTCACACGTCAGTCGATAAGCGAGACGTTCGAAAGATCGCTCGTCACATTGCCGAATTTCCCATTCGCGTCACCCTGTACATTTGCGCTACTACGATATTCTATCAACCTTCGTTTAGTTAATTCATATATTTATTTAATTTTCTTCTCTGTGTCCTTCTCTTATTTTTTATCTTTTTCTCTCTCCTCCCTCTCTCTCTTTCTCTCTCTCTCTCTCTCTCTCTCCCTCTTTATCTTTCCGTGTTCGCCGCAGCTACTCGTTAATCGGGAACGATTCGACTCGCGAAAGTCGACTTAATCGTACATTAACGTTGTAGAAAGGAGATTTCAACATTTTCGTACAGGCAAAAATCTCATAGCTAATATACGTTTTAATATTATTATTGTTATCGTTAGTAGAGTAGTAGTAATATTATGTCATTTATCGTTATCCGTTAATCGTTATGGCTAACGTAATCATTATTATTATTATTTTGTTTTTCTTTTATTACAAGATTACAGTTTATATATAACAGCCCCGCGCGTATTAAGCTGAGTTGTCGGTTTTAAAGGCGCAAGTCACGTTAATGTCGCTTATCTCTCTTCCCCTTTTTCCCTCCCGGCCCTTTTTCTCTTCTCATCCCGGTCGTTTGTTCTAAAATGTTCAGTTTGTACGGAAATTTCATTGTCCGTCGCCGCTCTCGTCTGAGTTTTCGCGAATACGCCATATCGGCCGGAAATATAATGCGAGCCGGAAACAATCGCGAGCGAGGGAGAACTCATTAATCTTTTCGCAATCGATCGACGCAAATTTGAACTTTGCGAAACATCCGAAAAATGATCTCTTTCCTCAGAAACAAATAATCATTCTAAAATCAAATAAGAATGAGAGTATCTATTTCTGGTTCTCTCTCTTTCTCTCTTTTTTCTCTTTCGATTAAAATCACAAGGAGCCTAAGAGTACATCGAGATGTTGCGACATATAAAATCAAAAGAGCATTAGAGGTGAAATAAGCCGTCGCTATTAATCATGCGACTCTTAAACGCGCATAGACGATAATGAAAATACCGCGAATGATGGACAGTCTGGATGAGAGGAAATTCTCTCTCGATGTGAACCGAGAACTTTTACTCTTCACCGACGGCCAGAAACCAACCGAACGGCTAATGCCCTTTTAACTCGATGCATCGCGCTCCCTCGACGACACGAACTTACTGCTATTCATTATTCTCGAGTACGAAAGCGGCGGATTACACCATGCCCGAGAGGTACGTTTGCTGCGTTATATCTTCGTAGAGAACTGTCCGTGTCGAGTTCAAGGAGGTGGAAACATCTCACGCGAGGTATTATATGTCACGTTCCGCCTGAATTTAAAATTCGCTTTTTCCTTTATGCAAATTCGGACGTCCGAAGAATGAGTTTCTCACTTTGCCAGCGAGTCCTCGAATAATAACTCGAGCGATCCCCGCCAAGTGTGTTCCCGATGGCAATATTTTCCCCTTTCGTTTCCTCGTTAGAGAAATCGCGGAAAGAAGCCTATCAAACTCTATAACAACGTTTTCGCGCATGTTCGAAGCGAATACGCGCCACAACGGGAGAAAGGTTTCGGCCAAACTCCACCAAAAGTGATGGTGCTGGATTTCATTCGGCCGCGAACTTTGATTTAAATGCAACAGACTTCTCCTGTTCATCGATTTCTATCGCAATTTTCCTTTACACATCGAGCACTCGAAACCTCTCCTCGTCGAGCGCGAAATCGTCGCGATTCCGCGAGAATCGGAAGCCTCACGTCGTTTTCGTTAATTCTCAACGTGAAGATATATCCTAGCTACTTCCGCACGCGTAACGCGGAGAACGGTCGTCCCCGCCGTCGCTCACGCGGTGCGCTTGTTAATTTATTAGGAAAATAAACCAGCAGTCGTTAGCGACGAATTACAGTGAGCAATTTCTTCTCTGTCTTCGACGTGGAATTTCATTACGCGATATGTGTGTGTGATAGTACACATTTACAAGTATATAGTTAGTAGAACAAGTATAGTCGTGCACAGAGTACACACGCGTACGCCGTGGTACGCGTTTTATTATTTCTTCTTTATCTTCTTTTTCATTTTTTAATCTTTCTTTACTATCTAATCGTTAAACCTCACAATTACATTATTAAGATCACGCGTTCGTTTTCGCTAACTCGACTTTTTTTTTGATACCCGTAATGTTCTAGGACTCTCGTAATCCATGTACGTCGCTGCTTCTAGAATAATTTTACAGCTGCAATATAATTAACTCATTAATCGCGATATACGCTTCGAGATACGCGCGTGTTTGTCTCTCGCGTGACTATAATGAATTGGATCCGAGCGAACAAGCGAAGGCTCCATATCAAAGGAAATGCTACTTTCGGTAGCAGCGATGCGCGAATGAAATCATTCTCCTCCGGCGCGCACTGTGTGACTCGTAATAACACGGCCGCGTCTTGGGAACGTATCTTATTGACGATAATAATTACGGGAAAGAAGAGTCTGCACGCGAGGAATGTACAGCTCGCCGTGAAGATTGCACCGGATTCTTCGTCTACGATCTCTGCGATTTGGACCAATCGTTCCAATGTTCGTTCTTTTCCTGAAGAAAAGGATTCTTCAGTAAGAGAGCTAGACGAAACGAGACACGGAGTTGTTCGACCGCACTCCTCTACCGTTGACTCGTGTTGTATGCAAAAAACAGATGGCGTATTCGTATTACGTGGCTTGATTAATCGCAATGAATCGGCGTGGCTAATCGCCTTTCCACCAACTTGAACTACAGCAAACGCACGTAAAAAGAAACGATGGAGCCGGACGTCCTCATGCAGCGACAAAAATGATCAGAGCGTCAAGAATCTTCCGCTTTGCGCGCTTAACTATCTCGGAAACGGCACAACCAACGGCCTTCGTACGACCTCTCTGTCTCTCCTCTTTTCTCTCTCTGGAGGTGGAAAGATAATTACATATATATATATATATATATATATATATATATATATATATATATATATATATATATATAATTTTCTATTTGAGCTAAAACATTCGAGGAGTTCGTTCCGATTTCTGCACAACTGGAAAAGTAAGCTCAGCGGATCAAAAGTTCTTTCTCAAATACGTCGCACGGAACGCGCTCGTATGTAAAAATATAATCCGATCAGGATGACACGGCACCTGGAAACGAAATCGAAGGATGGAAAGTGAAAAGGTTTTAAATCGTTCTTTTTCTCCTTCAAGCAAACTCCTCGTTTTCCTCTTTCCACTTCCAGAGGCGCGGCGTGGCATCGGTTGCTCCAGTTTCGAGATACACGGAGAGTTCAGTTCCGCGTGCGTCTGTCTGATTCGCGCGAGAGCAGACGCACGACGTTTTGCGCTTGCCGAGCCGGTTGAAGGCTGAACGAGCTGGTTGCTAATTTTTATCGCAACGAATGACGAATGTGCGCCGGTATTAAAGCGTCGATGTCTCGAACTACGCGTCTTATTTTTATTTGCTTATTTATTTATTTTTTTCTTCTTTTAACGCATTATTTCCTCGACTTCTCGTCAGCTACTGCGACACTTACAATGATTAACCGCGTTTTCTCGTCCTACGCAACGTACTCTATCTGCCACACGACTTTAATGCAATTCAACGTGTTATTCTTATCTTCTCTCTTTTTTTATTCTTTTTAAACGTTTTTCTCGCGCGCTATAGAGATCAAAACACCGTCTTAAGGTTTTATCGCACTTATAATCCCCTGCTCGCCTCTCCCTCTGCCCCACTCCCACTGCCTATCTTCGCAATATCGTCAACAACGATCTCAATTATTTTAATAATCTTTAATAATTATTAAATGATAACGTGATTGGTTGTCGCGATTATCCAGTGCCGATGGCCGAAAAAATGTACAATACAACGTTGAGTTTGTCTCCCCGACGTCGACGGCTCAGTCGCCCGTCTACGAATTAGCCCTGTGTGAACCCCAAGAGCAACTTCCTTCTTTTAATCGGTCTTTCTCTACCCGTTAGCCGTTCTACGTGTCGCCTCTTTCGACTCCGTCGCTTCCGCGATTTTCTACTCGTGACTTACAAACGGCTCATAAATTTGCAGACGTGGCGTACGCCAATATTTTTGGGAATGCGTTTAGAAGAAGAGCCTCACGTTTTTCCCTCCTTCTCGTCTCTTTCGCGAGTCGAGACAAATGTCTGCCGTAATAAACCGGCTCTCGTTGATCGCGGTATTTAATATCGCAATGTTGATTCTCTCTACAAGAGACGAGTCGGACTGTCGCGCGAGATTATAAAAAATTAGTGTTCTCGAATTTGTATGTTGCTACCCGGTTATTGGATACGACCGTCGGCGGAAACGCGCGCCGTAATGTGTCTCCGAAGAGACAACAGCAGAATATGAGATGTCAAAGTCACGTTTTTTTTTTTTTAATAGGGTGGAAATAAAAATCCGCGCTTAATCTTCCTGTCGCGAAACGCCTAAAAAGAAGACACGATGTCGTCTCGCGGTAATGGTTTCTATAATGGAGATATTATAGTGGGGGAAAAGATTGAACTGTCAGACACAGAAAGATACGCGAGTGTCCTGTGTATAGAAGGTATGTCTGTGTGAGTTCACGTTTAATACGCACGATGCAAGTGATAACGATCCGTTTTCTCAGCGCGCAATCAGCCACAAATGCGTTCGTCTCATTTTCCAAAAATTCGAAAAGAGAGAGAAAAAGAGAACTCGACGATCGCGTTTTACGCAAAAATTTCGGCGTGTTCTGTCCACACGCGGTGCTTCGAACAGACCGTTCTCAGCGCAAAAATTAGCTATTCGAAACGTAAAACCGGATTACCATCGCAACCAAATTAATGTTGAGTGCGCCTCTCACACGTGTTTGACACAGAGTTGAGATTCACGCGAAATTTCAAGCTGCAAGATGAACATAATTAAAAGAGTGTTTCTCGTTAAAAAGTAAATGAATAAATGAACAGTCGGACAACTGCACTTGGCGCTGAACGCGGGACGAGAATGTGCGGATCGATGGCGAAGCGATTCGCTCTGCGGACATCAGGGAAAGAAGGTGTGTCGCTCGAAACTGAATATTCTGTTCGCGTTGTCACAAGCGAAGGTAGTTATCGAACAACCGTTAACCGTCCCTCATAATTTTCTCTCGCATCTCCTCCGCCCCATTTCCCGCATTTTTTTGCACGGCGTGTCCCTCGAGATCCTTCGAGGCTACCTCGCACAACCTATCCGAGAGAGTATTTATGTTACGCCACCGTCGCTTAAATCGTAGTACAAATCCCCCGTTTATTAAGTCGTCGTCGATTTTTACATACTAGTGATACGGATAAGAAAATTCACTGGCATTACTTAAATCTCCTTGGCAGTTCGTCATGTGTATTCTGAAAGTGTAACGTGTGCGTTTTACCCTTAAAGCCCGATCTCCTGTTTCTCCCCGTTCTCTTCTTCTTTTCGCATAAACTTTCTCGCACTCATTGTTTCTCTTTCTGATCGTTATACTGTTTCGCATGCACCTGAAGGAAACCATCCGAGTCGAAATTTTGATTCTACATGAATTCTTTAAACACAACGTCGAGTTTGAAAGATCAATGGAGAATCTCCAGATATAATACTGCACAGGCTATTATGCTATCTTGATGTTGAAAATGATTACTTAATACTGATTTCTTTATGTTGAAACTTAAAGAAACATCTATTCGATCATCATTTATTATTCGATTATCTCGATATTCTCTCTGCATTTAATATTTATTCTTACATTCAATAAGCAATGTATTAATTATGTAACTTGCTCAACTGCAGATAGAACATGTGCGATAAGCAAATAATAAATAATTAATATGAGCAAATAAAAAATAAACTATATTCACAATCCTTTCCTCATTATTTCTTTTCGCTGGAGATTCCATCAATAAGATTTCAAGCTCTTAAAAAAGTTGAAAAGAAAGGAGTTGTAAATGTAAAAGTAGCAATTGTGTATAGATTAGAGATTTAAATATAGATTTTCAGTACAAAAAGAAGGCTAAGCAGAAGTGAAAAGAGCGTTGGTTGATTCAAGCTGAAACTCGCGTTCAACGAAGCTTTTTTATTACAGAAACAGATATCAGCATTTGTGAGACATTCCTATTTGTAAATTATTTCACGATCTTTGATCGAGGAAATAATTAACCACAAATTCGTGTTTCCAAGTGTCGTTATTCGGCTTATGCATCTATGTCTTTTGTATGAAATAAATGCAGATTGACAAATAATCAGAAATTCATCAAGTTATGATTATTGATCAAATGTGTTACTTTTTTTTAATGCTGACCTTAAAGTAGATTCTAAATTTCGACTCGGATGTCTCCCTATTCTCGTCAAGCTCGTCAAACATCCTGTGCAAGAAATGATTTAACACACCTGGAAATATACGATATATCGTTGACCGACGTTCTGCGTCCTCTATCCTGGCTGTTCGATCGAGCATCCTGCTCCTAGCTGTTTCGTGGTTCCGGACGCTCGAATTAATACAACTCGATCGAAGGAATGCGTGTTATTAACTCACTTACGCGATGCCGACGAGAATTTAATTAAATACTTCAAAAGACGCCGAGATATTTTGATAACTCGAAATTGAAAATATCGTACCAATACATGTACTTCGTATCGCGGTACACGCGTTGCTCGTTGGCTAGAGACGTAATGACTTGGTCGCGGAAAATGTACGTTACACGCGCGCGAGTATCAAAACAATGGATAAAAATGTCGCGACGACGCGAGTGATTCCCTTTTTACCGACAACGATCGTCGCTCGTCAATGAGCGTCCGGACGACTATAATAATCAACATTCTCGAGATATCTCGGACTCTCAAAATTATTAAATTCTCAAAATATCAAAATGTGCGCACACACATTGCGCACTTCTTGCTAACAAACAGACGCTACTCTAACCAAAATTCGGCGTCGCGGATACATCTTTGTCATATTATTTATCTATCATTCTGATTACCACCGCGTTTCTAATATCCATGATTAACAAATCCCCGACAATTACTCACAGTTCTATTAATATTTGAGTGAGTGAATGGCAATAACAAGTGTAAGGCACGTTGTACCACACAAGTGGTAAGCTAAATAGAGTTAAATCATATGATTGATTTCGTTTCTCCTTCAAAATAAACAAGGATAGACATATGATTTAACTATTAGCTTAGGGCTCGGTTGGTACAACTGAGCCTAAGAGACGCCGACTCGACCGACAAGCACCGACTGTATATATCGAAAAATGAGATGATTATTCGATATTGATGTACTCACGATACCCTCCGATGATCGCCTATCGCTATGTTCGGCACTCCCGATACTTATTTACGCGTGAGACTCACTTTCGACGAGCAAAAGACGCGTAAAATGCGGAGCGATGTCGATCGATACGTTCACGACTGCTGCTCGGCGCGAAAAGATCGAAACCCAAGATGGCCGCCGAAAATTCGCGCTTCTATAACGATGCTCTCTACAACTCAGTTGCGCACTGCTTTACCATTCGATAGATTGATAAGTATCGATTATCGATCGATAGTTATTACACATTTTCGACCAGCTGTTTCTAACTACGTCTTTCTCTCGCCACTGTGAACTAATCCGGAAAATACGTCCCCGCTTTCCGGATTAATCAACAGTTATGTAAAGTGCACAATTAAATACGGATACGATTGACTGAAAATTATTAGTAACTATCGATCTATCGACGGCAATTTGCGGGACTAATTGTGTATTATGTATTGAGCGTTTCGCTTGCAATGTTCAACGATCGTCATTAATTAACGCGCGATAAATTAGTATCGCGTTTTCGATCGACTCGTATTTTCGTGTGGCACCATTGAGCGCCAAACCACGATAACATCCAAGAGCTAACTGCAGGATGGATTAGAGGACGCAGAATGTATCGATCGGTCTTCCACGATACTTACACAACTCCTTCTTTTCCACTTCTATTGAATTTCTATATCCTATTGACATTTCTGACGCCAATAGAAAATAATAATAAAGAGATTACGCAAAGAGAGACAGTTTGTTGTGTGTGTTTTATTTACTCATTTATATATTCCTAATAACCTTTAATAATTATTTAATATTAATTGATCGCAATACTCTATCTGCAGTTGAGTAAGTTACATAATTAATCCATTGCTTATTGAAATTAAAATTTGAGATTTGAATAAATGCAGGTAGAGACTATTGAGATAATCAAATATTAAATAATTCCTAAATAAGTATTTCTTCTAGCCTCAACACAACAGCGGTTGTATCAATCAATTGTAACATCAATTGTAGCCTTGTGTAGTGTTACACTTCCAGATGCTCTCTTAACCTTTCAGGTTCAATGAAACTTGCATGATTAATATGAAAAAAAATTTCGACTCAGATGGTGTCCGTAATCGACATTCTCGAGCGCCTTCTTCCGCGTCTCGTCGTAGACGAGGACCGACGTTAAATCCGCGTACAGTAATCCCCGAATATTTTGTTTTCGGAATGTCGCTGATCTTATACCTTCTCGAGGATCCCGGTTGAGAAATTAGAAACTTTAATTACATCCATCTTTGAGCACCAGCGTTTACATCTTCGACGTTTCACATTATTGCGAAATTTATATTCCTCGAATATTCACATTTCCGGGCTGATCCTCTCAGATTTACGCGAGTCTTTATGCGAACTCGCGGAAACATTACGAAACATTTACGTGGGCAGCCCACAGTCGGCGTAGGAGCTCTTTAATACTTAATACTTCTCGCGTGTGTATTCGGGGATTCCTGCATCAACATTAGCCCTCGACCGCAGCGGGTATCTTTAATTCATCGGCAAGTCGCACTTCTACGCGCATCGTCGCTCATGTAACGTTGCGTGCATACACGTACGTGTGTATGTGCGTTCGTGTACGTGTGTATGTATGTGTGTATGTGTAATACATCCCCAAGTGTAGTCGCGGAGGACAGAGTCGAATACATGTCTTGATTCGACCGGTTCACGTTCTACTTCAGAGAACGTGTAGAACTCGTAATCGTACCTCTCGTAGAACTTAATCGTTTAACTCGTCCGAGGAAATGTACCGTTTCGGCCGTGCAAGCTGTTACCATAGCCACGTCGACTGCTCTCAGGGATGCGTGTACAAACCGGTGTGCGTGTCACGCGTGCGCTCCACTCCCGCGTGTATCCGTGTGTCTCCCCGTTTTCTCTCTTTCTGCCTCTTCCTCATTCTCCCTCTTTTTGTCCCTCTCTTTTTGTCTCGCGCCGTCTAGACGTGTGTGTTTATGTGTTTCGCTAAGGCGTCCTCGTGGGATAATAATACGATGAAATTTACCATTACTATTACGTAATTATTATTAGTACTATTATCGTTATCTTCATTATCGATAGCGTTATTATTTTCATTTTCACCAGTATTATGTATATCGTAAAGAAACAAAGTTACTCCCCGTATTGCTTTCTTCCTAACGCGCAGGTCTCCGAAACGAAGCGGCGTACGAACTCGAAGACGAGCACCCACAAGCCCGGTCCGGCGGGACTCGATCGACGGGAAGGGCGGGCGTATCACCGGGGTGGCGTCGCGCGCGATCCCCGTCAACCTCGACGCCGACGTCGACGCCGGCGACGGCGTGCGGCGCGCGTCCCTCGCCGACTCCGGAACCACCGGCGGCAGCCTGGCTTTTCTGAATCACGTGACGATAATGTGCGGCGCCGACAGCAGGACGGTGATGGTAGCGATGATGGTGAACAGAGTAAAAATGATTAGGCACATCCTGTCGATCACCATCGCCGCGAACTTCCAGTCGTTCGTCACCTTCGTGTTTTCATCCTCGCTCTTCAATTGATTCGTTATTATCTGCAACGAGACGGACGCACTATCGTCGTGATCAAATTTTCGAGTGGCAAGGCGTTATCGTTCTCACTTGCAGTTGGTTTCTGGACGGAAGATCTTTGGATCTTTTTAGATCTGGAGTCTTATGGTGGAGCTATAGGACGGCAGATTTCTTGGATGGTGAGAGGTTTCCGAAGTCTGGCATGTTTTGATCTTTGAGTCTTGGAAGTCAAGAATCTAGATATTCAGGAATCCGGAGATGTAAAAGAAGGAAACGAATTCAAGGACTTAGGTATTCAAGGCATTCATCGAATCGCTTTAATTCGTCATTAGCTGGAACCGCATTGAGTTTGAGTCCTTAAAACCTTGGGATTTTTTTAAGAGTTTGGCACTTTAATATTTTTATGTCTTAGTAATTTTAGATCTTTGCATCCTTGAGATCGAGGAATCTAAATACTGAAAAGTTTGGGAAGCAAAGATTTGGTGGATTCGAAACATACGAGTCGCTCTTACCTTGATTTCCTTCAGTATTAGCACGAGCTCGTAGCGGGCGCAGAAGCACGCGTTCTGGAGTATCGTCTCGACCTGCGGCGTCGGCGCGTCCTGCGGATGCGGGTGATGGTGCGGCGTGTGACTGATCTGGTGTCCGGGATACGACGAGTGCGGCAACGGCGTCGCGTGCTGATGGTGCGGTGTCGTGGCCGCGTGGCTGTGATGATGATGGGGTGTCGTGTGTATGTGGCTATGGCCATGACCCATCGTGTGTGCGTGGTGCGGCCCGGGTGTGCTGTATACATTGTTCAGCAGGTTGTTGTGTGACGCCAGCGCGTTGTCCTCCAGGTCCAGCACATTCGCCAGAAGGGACTTGCTGCTTCTCTGATGAAGTTCCAGGTCACCGTACGACTTGCTCGCGCCTGGCGCAAGATGGGATTAATTTATGAGGTTACAGATGAATTGTGCAATTACGAGAGAAAAAGAGAGAGAGAGAGAGACTGCCTTACCCGTGACCGGAGATGGCTTCTGCGATTTTTGCACTTCCTTTTCTTCTTTCTCGACGGGCCTTGACATACGGAGTATGCAGGGCAGCCAGTACAAGAAAACGACTTTAACCTACAATATAATTCAGTTAACGATATATTTTCATATCCAATTATCCACTGTAACTAATTATCGCAATAATCAAAATTTATCTCTTAGAGAGTTTCCGACTACCAACGTTATATTTTTTTTTAATATTCCCTCATTGCTGAAGAAAATATTTACGTTACTATTCATCTCGATAAAACTGTTAATACGTAAAAATGTGGTTATCATAATAGCCGAATGGAATTCAAATAAATGAAATTTAAAAGTCATTTGCGTACTTTCACGCGCGTTCTTTGTAATTTTTATTTTTCTTTTTGATGCTTTTCGTTGAGTTTCGTGACTCAGAAGAACTCACGTTCATTAATTTGACTTAACATGCATTTTGCACGTAGAAATTTGATCGCCCGCAAATCATCGTGTGTCAATTCCCGAAATTTACATCCTAATTAACGTGACGTCCGGCAGGAAAAATTTGATTATGCGACATGATTTATTATCGCGATGCGCATTCAGTAGAGTGACCCTTAATTATCTGCCCATAAAATTCCCGATTTACTCACGATGAAAAGACAAAGAGAGAGAGAGAGAGAGAGAGAGAGAGAGAGAGAGAGAGAGAGAGAGAGAGAGAGAGAG